GAAAGAGTTATTTCAAAACCTGCATGCTTTTGATAGCGTGCCCAAGTATATTAACGTTTGACTGTGCTTTTCCTTCTGGCAGCAGAATGGCTCTTGCTCACATGCATAAAGCACTGAAGCAACTGAAGGCAAAACAGGGACATTAGTCCCTTTTTTCTTTTTTTTTTCCTTTTTTTTTAAAAAAAGGAAGCAAGCAGTCCTCATGAGCATTTAAAGAATATAGGAATGCTGCTGATGTGTTTCTCCCTTTGAGATTTATTGTATACATATTAGCATGTCTCTGGGAATAAATAAGAAGGAAAAATGCTGGCAGTAAAATGGCTGTGGAACCTGTATACTGTTTCCTAAGGGCTTTTAGTAATTATCCTACTGCAATCTCATAGAATATCATTAAAATAGACTTAGATTTTTGAAAACTGGTATCTTAGCTTTTACGTGTATCTGTATAAATAAGTGTAGTTATGCATATTTAGATAGTCTGTGACAGAATCTTGCATATACTCTGTATGCAAACAATTTTTGGAATTAACAGATTGTTACTGTAGTAGGTAGAAGTGGTAATCCTTTGTGACATGGCATATCTTTTCTGAGTGGATTATTTAGGATTTCACCACCATATCTGAGATATATGACATGAATTTTCCATTAAATCGTTTAGTTTAGTTTAGATCAGAAAATAATTAAGAATCCAGGTAGGAAGCATAGTTATTCTTGTTTATGCAGTATGTAATGCCTGCTTGAATGCCCCTGTGGTTCCATGAAGGTAAGGCAGAATAAATGCTGTAAGTAGAAAGCTTGTCTGCATGTGTTTTAAAATTTCGTTGTACCTGTATATTTAAAGAAGCTACCTGACGCAAGCTAGTGTCATCTGCAGCTATGGAAGGGAGAAAATCAACAGCTAGCTAGTATTACATTCATGTCTGCAACCACTGTTTTGGAAGAGCAGATTTGTTGCAGGTGTTTTGGTATCTGACCTGAAAAGTGAGGGGACATTCTGAGCCATGAGATGGGAAGAATCTGAAGTAGACAAATAGGGACTATGTTAGGAGGCACAGAAGTAGTTGCGTAGCTCAACAGTCACTGCTTATTGTGTACAGAGTAACAGTAGGAGCCAGACTTGGTACAAAATTTGACTGTGTATGTTACTGAGGAAAGTCTAGCCCCTTGCTAGGACAGCAGCTGCATTTTGCACATATGAGGGAGCAGCCACATGCACCCCTGAAGCATAATGCACTGATGATCTCTAGTTTTGTTGCACTCGTGGTGTTTTGCTCCCTGCATGGGATAGTCTCTAAAGTCTCTTGTGCATTTTATTCTTTGAAATGTTGTACTCCTCTGCATCGCCACAAGAAATAGTCTGTTATTTCCTGCTGTTTATCCAGGCACTGCTTCTAAGCTTTTAAAAGTTGCTTTCATTTTCCAGAAAATGGAGCTTAATCACAGACTTTCAATTTTCATAATACTCATTGCTTCTTCCCCCTTTTCCCTCCACTATTTTATTTAACAAATCATTATCAGCCTTTATTATTTTTTAACATGTATTTTAGGCATATTATAGCAACCATTCAGTTAAGAAGTCCAGATTTGTCCTATCCTCCTCTGAGTTTGCCTTCCCTCTGATCTAGTGTATAGCTAAGATATTTGGCATGACTAAGTTGCTAACCTGAGTCATTCTTTCAAGTTAGGTGATTGAATATTGCTGTCTGTGATGTTTATTCTCTAACAGTGCTTCCCTGAGAGGAACTGGAAGTATCAACACAGCTTTACAGTCTTTCCGGAAGGACAGTGATAAAATGCCAGCACACCTGCACACATTCTTAACATGAAATGCGAACCCTCCAGGGCATGGCCTTCAACTACAGTATAAATTCTCTCCCTGGATAGGATGGGGAAGTAGGGAGAGAAGATTTTTACTTCCATAATTCAACACACAACAGTGATGACTTTTTTCAGCACATTGTGAGAATAAGCATATCCTTATAATTTGTCATCCTCAACCTGCTGCTGATTCCTGAGCCATCATGCAGTTCAGATATATGTGGTGCATCTTTAGGGCCATATAAAAGGCTACTGATAAGCACAAGACATTAATGTTGTTGAGGCTCTACTTTGGCTGGTTTTGAGAAAAGCAAAACCCCACCTTCACCCAGACCTTGAAAATGTTTCCCCATGAAATTTGAGAAGAGGAATGTGTGCATTAACTTGTTATGCTGTAGCCATGGCTTGAATATTCTTCCTCTCTTTAAGGATTCAGTTGTGATCCTTTCCCAAGAAGAAGAACTGGCTGTGTCTGAGCCTCTGGTTGCTTCTGAGAAGGATGCTGATGGATCTGAATGATTGTGTCCAGCAAGTTGCTGGGAGGATCGCTTGGCTTATTCTTGCCTGCTGTGTAATTTGTGCTGGATTTGCCTAATTTTGAGACAAGCGTCTCAAACAGGTTCAAACCACAATCTGAGGCAGATTAGCATTTGGATTTCTCTGTATTAGGGTAGCTTCAAGAGTGCTCTGTGCAAAATTCTGGTTAAAGCAAGGCGGTAGAACATGAGGATCGGTAACCACGATCCTTCCAGCCTAATATGTCTCTATTGTAGCCAATATATTAGAATAAGATTATTAGGGTAAATGCAGCAGGATGTCTTTTCTGTCACTGAGTCATTCAGTGGCAGTTGAAGATAAAGTCCAAGTTATTTCAGGTGTTGTGCAAAATGTAAGGCCTGTCCCCTGAAGTACAATCTGGGGACTAAAATAGATATTCTTTTGAACATGCCAGGTCATTGCTCAGTAGCATTAAAAAATAAACAATTGTTACTTATTTCTAAGAAAGGAACGGGTATTGAATTGAAGACCTCCATCACGCCAGCTTTATATTCCTCAAAAGCCTCAATCTTGGAAAGGTCAATTCAGAGTAGTTTAGCAATGGAAAAAGCTTCCGAATTTAGGACATGTTCAAAGACCCTGTAGCCATTTCCAAGCTGGTTTGCAAGTTGAAGCTGCACAAGTTTGCATCACTGTCTGATTCAAGAAAATGAATGAGGTGATCTTCCGTTTAGGTGCTCAGTAGTGATTTCACAGGATAAACTGAAATATCTCTGTGCTGCAAAGTGAAACAACTTACCTTGATGCCTGAGCTCCTTTCAACCGTATTTTTCTCTTTAGACCTACCCTTAATATATAAGTCGTTTATCTAAAAGTCTTAGCTTACTTGCAGCCTCTTTGTTTGCAGCATAGTTTTCCACCATCTTGTGCAGTCCTGAGGGATAACCTTCATTGGCAGATGTTCCATGAACTACCAGGCAGCAGTCAAATGGTATTCGTGGTTTGTCCAAACAGTCTCAGTTCTGCAACTTCCTCAAAGCTGTGTTAGGAGAAAGTAAAAATGAATTAAGCAAACAGAAAATGATTCGCAGGGGACTAGTTACAGCACTTTGGATAATAGCTTCTGCACTAGTCTGCCCATGCTTGAGGAACAAGAAGGTTGTATTTCATAAATGCTACAGGCTTTAACCATGTACTGTTGTGCAGCAGCCCTATCTATGCTATATTACAGAGTAACCAGTATCATCACCTTGATGGAGCTGTGAACACATCAAGACCATTTGGCAAAAGTCTTTCATTTGCCCCAGCTTTCAGTTGGTGCCACGAGTGTTGTATGGACCAAGTCTGGACAAAGAGATTTTAGTGGCAAAGCTGTACCCCTAGAGAGGGTGATAAGGGCTTGCCCAGGGTTTTGAGCGTAATGCTAAGTGCCTCACGTACTGCCCACAAAGTTTTGGGAGCATTCGTGCACCGTGGTGGGAAGCCCCCAAGAGGGCAAGAGGGGGCTTCAGGCTGTGCTCTTTGTACAGTTCCTTTCCACAGTGCCCCTCAGGGTGAAAGAGCTTTAGTGTATAAGAGCCTGGCATCCGGGCTGTGGAGGAACGTAAGTATCTGGGGAAAACACTTCTTACATCTGTCCCAAATGCTGAATTTTGCTTCAGCTTCCTAAATGATTAGTTCCTCAGCCTTTCTCCCTAGCCTAGTTTTTGCAGAATCTCTGCTCCCTATAGCAGTGTTCTGGAGGCCTGAGGAAGAGATTGCATGTGATGCTCAACAGCAGGACCTCTGATATGCACAACCACAGAGAAGAAGTCAAACATGAATAACATCTATATCAAGTTATTCTTTCCTGTATAACAGGGGGAAAGAAAGAAAAACATCCTCAGATGCTCAGCTAAGAAGACTTGAAATGCAGCAATGGTATATTTTACTCATCTGTTTTATGTACTTCAGTAAGTGAAGGACATAGAATTAATAAGCACTACACTTGGTTTTGTTTTCCTCCCTGCTAGACAAACACAAGCAGTCTGCTGCTTTGCTACTCATGTCACCACAGGGAAGCATTGGCCTTTGTATTCATGGATTTTGTCAAGAGTATTTCCTTCCATCTGGTAACATTCTGTGCTTTGTGCTGCACAGCTCCGTTTTATTTGGGACAGACTGTGAGGGTACAATTAGGGGAGAAGCAGCTGGAACTAGTCAGAGAGAAGAGAGAACATCAGCAGCTCAGGGAAAAACATATGTAATGTTTTTATATTCATCTATTCCAGCATGCTCAACCTTCAAGGCTCTGGCTCATTATTTCTTTTTGTTCTTTAATCTATTTTAGTGTACATATGTCCTACAATTCGATAATTTCAGCTGAATTTTTGATCATGATAAATATACCTGTATGAATCAGTGAAAACAGAGCGTATTTATGTGAGAACAAAGCATTAACAGTTCACTTGGAGTACATTCTGTACATCAGTGTTAAGCTATAATGGTTTCATGGTCAAAATCTGTTACACACTTAGGGAAGAAAATATGAATTTAAAGTGCTGTGTTAAATTACATGCAACTAGAAAACACCAATGACTAAGATGCATTTACTCTTTTCCCCCACAATTAAAAAGTTCCTTTTAAGAAAGTTTTGCTCTGTATTTCTCACTGGATTTGTTTCTATTCCTAGGGATATTCTCAACATGATTGACTGGAAGCCACTAATTATTCTTCTCTTTGCAATCACCTGTTGCTCTATAGATGCACAGCAGACTGGTAATCCACTAAAGAAATGGCTCTTTTTTACATTAAAATCAGTAGTAAAAATACTTTTTTTCCATTTATACCTAATGCTACAGTAATATGAAAAACTGGTAACAGTTTATTCTTTGTATCATTAGAGATGCTATGAAATGTTTTTAGGAAATATATATTTAAAGTAGAATAAGAGAGGTGTCCTAAACGCAGCAAAATTAACTGGAACAGTTCATTATAGTTTTTTGTTCATACATGCTGATATTCTGTATTTTCAAAAACAATGAAAAACTCTTAAATACTTCTTATTGTCCTCTCTAAAAGCTTTGCAGACCAAATCAGGCCTTATTAGGAAGACTGCCAAAAGGTGATACTGGACTCACTATTTTGGTAGTCAGTTTTGGAGAATATGCTTGAAGTACTCTGTCCAGTTGTAGGGCATTTTCTGCATGTCTGTCAGTTCAGGGAAAATCACGACCATTTCACTCTTGTCCAAGTAACGTCATATACTTCTAAGAGGTGTGGAAATGTGATACCACTATTTACTATAAGCAAATGTGCTTAGTCCTCATGTTCAAGCCAGTGTGATTTCTTTTCCCAGCCAGTAAATACTAATCATGCATGGTTGCAGTGTGAGCTCAAAGTGCATGAGTGTGGAAGTTGTGCTCATGTGAATTCAGTCTCTCTGCCTAAGAAATGGGTTTGCAGATGGACGTAGTCTCAATCCTTCTGTAATATGAGTGGAGGGAAAGGATGAACTAATGAATACCAAGAAGTTACCAGTCTAGATAGAAAAATAAACAGGAGGCAAAATTACCTTTTTCAGGGAACAGGAAAGTTAAAGCATGTTTCTTCAGTCTGCAGGGAAGCTTCTATGGCAGACATCATATTCCTCATAGATTCATGCTGAAGTGTAAAATCGAAGTTTAAAATTGTGGAGAACAAAATATTTGCAATTGTAATTTAGCTTATATTCAAAGCCAAGTATGAGTATAGGTTGACAGTATTTTTTTCTGCAACTCATTAATAACATTTGTTCCCTCTCTACAGCATTTCCAAAACAATATGCTGATGTTATTTTCCTTATTGACTCTCCTGAGACTATGACGTCTTCAGCTTTTGAGGAAGTGAAAGATTTCATCTCTGAGATAGTCAGCCAACTAGATGTTGGGCTTAACAAGTACAGCATTGGCCTTGCCCAGTTTAGTGGGGTAGGACAGGTGGAGTTTGTACTGAACACATATGAAAATAAAGAAAAGATGCTTGGCCACATACAGCACATCACTGCGTTTGCTGAAGGCTACTTGCAGACTGGAAGTGTCCTGGAGTTCTTGCTGGAAACCTTTTTTGTGGAGGGTGCAGGAAGCCGGCTCAGAGAAGGCACTCCACAAGTCGTGGTGTTCATCGTACCCTCTGGATCCAGAGATGATATCACGAAGGCAGCTTGGGAGCTGGAAGACATGGGGGTAAAAGTTGTCACAGTTGATGCTGGAAACTTTGGTCAGAAAGTACGGTTGGGAGCCGCCCCCTCCATGACTTACGAAAAGACTGATGAAATAGAGCTCACTGTTCCCAGGCAGCAAAATGTTGTCACCGATATCGAAGTCTCTGTTCAGAAGCTTTATGAAGTTGACTCGACTGGGCCAGCAGGTATGGTGGATCATCAGAGAAAAACCAGCAGCCTGAGTAACTTCTAACCCATTGGTAATCCAGGGCAACTGTTCAAGTAGTTGTGAGGGAAGACCAGAGTGAGAACAGGTGGTGATTATACTTTACAAAGTTGTTGGATTGACCAAGTATTTACCACCTTTTGTTGTCTTGAGGCAATACTTGCCCATGCACAATTTAGCATTTAGCTATTTTAACCGAGAGGTACAGGGCCCCTTTGCTCCACTTGCAATTGCTTTGCTTTTGAGGGGTTGGCTGTGGTGAAATTGCAACAATTTTGCCTAAACTCTGTTTCGAGAACATGGCCATAGGAGAGTTTGTATTTAATGACGGAGGAACTTCCTAAGTGTCCTGGAGTGTTTTGATTAGCAGTCACTCTGCAGAAGGGTGAGAAAAATTATTTGTCTTGCAGAATTCCTTGTAGTGTGGACAATCTAGCATTTATTTCATGACTGTCTTTTACCATAAAAACATAAAAATCTCAGCTGTTAAGGCAGGTAGAAATTCAGATTTTGTGCCTTTTTGTAGTACTGTTCTGCATATGGTCCTTTTTTTTTAAAAAAAAAAAAAAAACCTACTCCAGTTGTACCCACCAATTATCCCACAGTGTGATCTACATTAATTTTATCTTTCACTTTGCTTTTAGCGTGCTCCAGTGCAACTATTGCAGATATTGTGTTTCTTGTGGATGAATCCAGCAAAATTGGGTCAAAAAACTTCCAGCTCATTAGGACCTTTCTGTTAAAAGTTGTTAATGCCCTGGATATTGGCTCAAGCAATGTAAGAGTTGGATTAGTGCTATACAGTAATGAACCGAGGCTAGAGTTCACCCTGGACACATTCAAGAATAAACTGGAAATCCTGAACTACCTGAAGAACTTACCCTATCGAGGAGGACAGCCTTACACTGGACGAGCTATTGAATTCCTGAGAAAGATGGTTTTTACTAAAGAAGCAGGTAGCAGGCAAAAACAAGGAGTGCAGCAAATTGCTGTGGTTATCACTGATGGCCGGTCCTTGGATAATTACATTGAACCAGCATCTAAACTAAGGCGTAAAGGTGTTACTGTCTATGCTGTGGGCATCCAGAATATCACAGAGAGTGGCAAACTTGATAAAATTGCAACTTATCCCCCAAACAAACACGTCTTCAACCTGAAGTTTTTTCTACAGCTGTCAAATATTGGATGGAAAATAAAAAAACGACTTTGTAATGAGATTCTGACAAAAACCTTTGTAGCCCCATCACAATCACAGAATCTGAAAGAAGGTAAGAAGTACATAATTCCCATTTAAATATATTGTGCTGCCAGGTTTTGTGACAAGTGAAATACATTTTTATCTATCTCTTTCAGGAATAGCTGAGCCATGCACTTATTAATAGTTTGGGAAGCTAGTCTCATAATGATATTCTATCTATATAAATATAAATATTTATTTATTTTAGTCATAACTAAATTGTATCCTATCTGACCCCCAAAAGCCTATCTTACCATTCTCAAAGTAGCTATGTTTTCAACTGTGTTTATTCCTTTTTCCATTCTTTTGTCTTTACAGGCTGTTGCATTGTTACCATACCTCACCATGCTTACTTTTATTTCTGTTTTTCTTGAATGTTTCATACCATTTTATATCTTTATTCCAGTCCTGATTGCTATCCCATCATGCTTGTTATCTTTTTTTTGTTTGTTTGTTTCCTAATTCCAGCCATGATAGGTTTCATTCTTCCATTTTCTTGTCTGGATGCATTTTATTGGTATAGAGAAGTCCGATCATCTTTAATCTCTCAAACACCCAAGATTTTACAAGCTTTTAGGCTGATGGACTTTTCCCAAACCAAATGTTACTTTTCGTGTTTAGTGACTTACTTGGAGATTGGAATGTAATCGATTAAATTTCTTACTCTTTCTTGAAGTATCAAAAGTTCTGTAACTTTTTAAACTTTTTTTTGTTTTCTCTCCGCTAATTAGGTTGTAAGGAAACAGAGGAAGCTGACATTTATTTCTTGATTGATGGCTCTGGCAGCATAAATGTATCTGATTTCAGGGACATGAAAACCTTCATGAATGAGACCATCAGAATGTTCCAAGTTGGTGCCAACCTGGTTCGCTTTGGCGTTGTTCAGTATGCGGAAGGGTCAAGGACAGAATTCGTGATTGGCCAGCATAATGATATAAAAACCTTATCGGAGGCAATTAGGGATATTTGGCAAATAGGTGGAGGCACCAAGACTGGAGATGCTTTAAGGTCTATGAAAAGTCTGTTCAAAAAGACTGCCAGGAACAATGTTCCACAGATCCTGATAGTGATTACAGATGGTGAATCGCAAGATAAGGTGGCTCAGTCAGCAAAAGAGCTGAGGGAACAAAATATTGTTATATTTGCCATTGGTGTCAAGAATGCTGTTCAGAAAGAGCTGGAAGAAATAGCAGGGAGAAAAGACAAAGTATTCTTTGTGAACAACTACGATTCCCTGAAGCTTATTAAACCTGACATTGTACAAGAAATCTGTTCAATAAATGGTAAGAGCCTTTCCTCAATACAACTGGATTCCTTCCAAGCACCTAGTGTTAGAATGTGCTCATACAGTTTTGGTTATACTGAAGAGGATGTTGCTACATAAGCAGAAATAACTAAAAATTTGTGTGTGAGTGAACTCAGACTACCAGGTCAAGGCAAGTTACCCTCTTCCAAGGTACAGTTTTTACCAATCACTCAACAAAATGAAATTATACTAAATGACAGCGGTTGAAAGTCCTTAATGTACCCAAGTATAGTAATCTAAGTACTTAATTATGGCATTCACCGGTGCCATTTTGTGAGAACAGATATGGAACACAGTGATAATGCCTCTCCTGAATTGCCTGCAGTCTAACACGAGCATCCTTGTGGTTTTAAACAGATAAATAGTTTAAGCATTACAGGACTTTTTCTTTCGTAGGCAGATAGATTCTAATTTTCAGTACCCAAATCATGGAATTATTTTCTGACGTGTGCAGAATACTCTTACCCTGGGATCATGTGCATACCCCACTGCATCACATACTCACTGTCTTGGAGGAGGATGACCATGCATCGAGTGCCAGAATTCTCTCTCAAAGCACACTCACTGATTCAGCAGGGGGTCATATATGGTGAACAAAGGCATTATCTCCAACAGTCTTCAGCCTTTATTTATATGTTAGCTGTGTATTACCTAGATTTAATTCTCTTCTGGGCAGGCCCATCTGCATGTGCTATCATTCCCTTTGTTTTGGACATTGATACAACTAAGATGTTAAAAGTGCAATTAACCTGAATTAACCTGCTTTTTCTCCTTTATTTCTTAGTTTGTAAGAATTTCAAGGCCGACATAGTTTTCCTGGTGGACAGCTCAGGGAGTATTCGTCCAGCTGAATTTCAGAAGGTGAAGGATTTCACGCAGTCAGTTATGAGCAGAGTGGAGGTCGGGCTCGATAACGTTCGATTCGGCTTGCTGCAGTTCAGCTCTGAAGTCAGAGAAGAGTTCCAGCTTGACAGATACAGCAGCAAGCCTGACCTGCAGAGAGCCATCCAGGAAATGCGACAGATGAAAGGAAAGACATTTACCGGGAAAGCACTGTCCTTTGCTGCCTCTTACTTTGACCGAGGCAGGGGAGGGCGGCCTGAACTGAAGCAGTACCTCATAGTGATCACTGATGGGAAATCCCACGATCCAGTGAAAATCCCAGCCAAGGCCCTACGGGACAAAGGTATCACCATCTATGCCATTGACATGCTGCAGGCAAACAATTCGCAGCTTGTGGAGATTGCTGGAACTCAAGACAGAGTGTTTTTTGAGAATAACCTTGACTTCCTGGGAAAGAAGATTCTCTTTGAAATTTGCAGTCAAGAAAATTGTAAGTGATGGTGGTAACCCACTTTGTATGTTCTCTTTAGTTCAATTTTGTCATTTTTCTTGCTAAGTCTTCATAAGGACAGGTTTTGCTTTCCATATTTATTATGGAACCTAACATCTCCCCACTCCTCCTGGTGATATTACGCAGTTACAGTGACACAAAATGTGCTATCAGAACATGGGCTTTTTTTGTTTGTTTGATTTTTGCTATAATCTCATTATTTTCCTCATGAGCAGATAGGTAAATATTTTCCTTTTTTGTTCAGGAAGACACCCAAGCATTTCTGTTTTGGTTTCCTTCATGTCTCTGCACTTTCTGGTTTTGGTTGGAATATGGGAACAAAAATCCCTACATAGGAATGGGGGAGGGAGAGAGAGAATTATAACCTTTTTGTTGTTGTTGTTTCCTCTGTTTCCACTTATAACAGTGTGCAAAAGGGCAGAAGTTGCTGATGTCATGTTTGTAGTGCATGCGTCATCTGGCATTACAGCCCTGCAGTTCAAGAGTGTGCAGTGTCTCCTGGAAGCAGTGGTCAATGGCTCAATGGTCGGAGCGGACAAGGTCCGGTTTGGTGCCTTGGTGTATAGCTCCAAACAGAAGGTGCATTTCTCACTTAATTCGTACTTCTCCAAGGCTCGGATCAGAGGGGCAATATTCAACTTGAAGCCTCTGCCAGGCCAGGCCTTCACAGCAAGAGCTTTGAACTTTGCCAGGCAGAGATTTGGTGCGAGCTATGGTGGGCGAGCATCTTCTCGTGCCATCACCAGGATCCTCATTCTTATCACTGATGAACCGACTGCTCTATCGGATAGAGCCAACCTTCCTGCAGCTCTAAGAGCTTTGAAGGAAGATGGAATCAACTTAGTTGCTGTTGGAATGAGCACGGCAAGCAAAGCAGAATTTCAGGAGATTCTCGAAGATAAAGAGCGATTATTCTTTGCACAGAGCTATGATGCACTGGAAAGCATACAGGAGAACCTTATGCAGACAGTGTGTGAGAAATCTAAGCCAGGTAAAAAGAATTTTTAACAGAGCTATTATGTTTTATTCTACATCTGCTGCAGGATGTCCAAAACAGGAACAGTAATTAAAATTGCCTGTGGAGACAAGGGGAGGATGGGTGGAAAAGTTTAGAGACAGTTCCCTGTTAGAAATGCAAAGTGCCAAGATTTAATCCTAAAGATGCCTACTAATGATGTGCTTCTATCAGTTATTTTCAAAAGGTGGCTTATACTGGTAAATGTAGTCGGATGTCATCTAAATTTTCTTGAGTATTTTTCCTTCATGCATAGTGGAGACTGTTCCTTATAAATGCACTTTCCACTTCAATGGGAACCTGTGCCCTGTCATTTTTTTCTTGCTGCACAACATAGAGTACTGGCTTCTCTCTAGGAAAGAAACAATATTTCGATCCAATTAAGTGTCACTCTGATGTCTTGAGTAGAGGCTACCAATTGAAATGTTGGGTAGATCTGCTTCTGCAGTGAAAACAATAGGTGACAACTCCTTCAGCTTCAAGGGTACTGTTTTCCTTTGTGATAGTCAGGCAGTTCCAGTGATATTTCCTTGGAGTGGCCATTCAGGCAGCAAGAGGATAGAGCGCAGTGAGTTGGGTAGTTAATCTGACTTTACTTCATTGGTAGGTAAAGTCTGACCTTCCTGAGCTGAGGGTTTGACTTTAGGCATAACTTCTGTCGTGTGCTCTCCCAGCCTTTTAGAGGCTGCATAAAGAACTGATTTCTGCTACAAGTCAATACTGAGTAAAGGATGAAGGGTTGAAGTAAGATAAATGATGGATTGGCTTTGAATGGCCTGCCTGTGAATAGCTGATGTCACTGAAGTTTTATATGAAAGAGCATAAGTAAAAGGCTAAACACTGCCAAGGTTACATCCTTCACTAATCTTTTTCTTTTCTTTTTCTACTTTTTCCCTAAGTTTGCAGCCATCAATTGGCAGATCTGGTATTCTTGATAGATGGGTCAGAAAGCATATCAGAAAATAACTTTTCTGTCATGAAGAATTTCATGAAGGAAATTGTCGACAGTTTTATTGTTTCGAAAGATGACGTACATATTGGGGTAGTGCAGTACAGCCAAGACCCCCAGAAAGAATTTTCTCTTAAGGACTTCTATACTAGCACCAGCATAAAGGAACAGATTGACAGCATCGTGCAGTTGAGGTCCTCTACGTTCACTGGCAAAGGCCTGAGGTTTGTCCGGAGTCTTTTTGAGCCTGCCAACGGAGGCCGCATTAGACAAGGAGCCTCCCAGCACCTGATTGTGATTACAGATGGGTATTCTGCTGACGAGGTGGACGATGCAGCACTGGCTTTGAGGAATGAGGGTATCCATGTCTTTGCAGTTGGCATAGGGACCATAAACTCTTTTGAACTGCTTCGAATAGCTGGTGGTCCAAAGAGAGTGTTCACAGTGGAGAACTTTGATGCACTGAAAACCATCAAGAGACATATTGTTGAAGAAGTCTGTGAATCTGGAGATCCTCCTAGCAAGGGTAAGCAACATAAGCCTTTTGTTGGGTATATATGAATGTGCATCCAAATGCATACGTATAGTCCTTGGCAAAGGCACCTGACCTAGCTCGGAAGCAATGCAGCTATTTTACCAAAGAGCTCTGCTCTGCTTACACAGCTTGCAACTTTATTGGCTCACACCTTCATTCAGTCAAGAATTATTGTGCTTTTTTTCTATAGTAAGTGGCTTCTGAGCTGAGACAGTCCTCTAACACTCATGTCACAGCTCCTCAGTGTCTAAAAGCAACTGGTTATCTCTTATGTGTTTTCCTTGTGGTAACAGCAGTTTGCTTGCTGTTCCAAGGATGCTGCACAGACTGGAAGACTCTCAACTACAAGGGAAATAAAGGCTCCGATATGCCTTTCATTAATGCAGGGACTTTTATCCTGTGTCAGATGCTACTGTACTGAGTTTAATCTGACTTGGTGCTGCAGCATCAATTGCCTTCTTCATGTGGAAGATTGGAGCAAGAAACACACATGCTCTGGTCTTTAAAATTCTACTAAAATTCTGCATAGCGGCACTGTGTAAGGAGTGCGCTGTTTTTCAGATGAAATTGCATGCCTCAGACTTTGTTGCAAAGGTACAACAGTGATTAATGATAATGCAGCTAGACAAACAAAACAAACTTTAGCATAAAACATGAAGAATCAAGGTAGAGAAGAAACTAGACAAGTAACGTAGTTGCTTGGCCAGTGCAACATGATCCAAGGGCAGGGAAGTAACCACGTTGTCTTTGTTTTCAACAGCTGTGCAAGCAGTTCCATAACTGAGGTAGCCCGTACTTTACCTCAGCTGTTATTCACAGTGGATACATGATGTTGCATTCTGCTTCTTCCTCTTAGGTTTCTTTGGCCTGTTGCTTTCCATTGCAACTGAAATATATATTGCACATTCACAGCCAATAGCAAAGCCCATAGAAGCATTTGCAAAGGTTATACCTTTGGTGCGGGCCTGATCTGTCAGGCTGTTTTGCCATGTGGGTCTGTACTTATGTCAAGCAATAAAAGTTCAGTCCTCAGCAGCTGCGGGTCGTAGAGGTGCACTGAAGGTGGTGCTTCAACAGCAGTTTATGAAAAGTCTGGATCTCTCAATCTGACTTCTGCTTTTGTGTCTTTTCCTACTGAATCTTGTTCAGATTCCTCAGTTCTGACAAAAGATAATAAATAGCATATGTTGATGGTTTCTGTTTTGCTCTGCTTTTTCCACAGAATGCGACATAGATCTTTCAATAGGAATTGATATTTCAGGGCACACACAGCCAGTATCCACACTGCGTCTGAAACAGAAATTAACAACGTTCCTCCCCAGGCTTTTAGTCCAGATGAAATCACTGCCCAATATCAGCTGTACTGCTGGCTCTCCACCCAACATTAGGTTCAGGTTTCAAGTGTTGTCACAGACCAATCAAATTATCTTTGACTCTGATTTTGAAGACTATAATGAAGAGATCATCCAGAAGTTCTTAGATGCACAAACTTCTATAGACACCTACCTTACTGCAGACATCTTACAGGCATTTGGAGATAAGTTCTTTAGTGTGACCTCTGATAAAGTGAAGGTAAATTTATGTGTGAGTGTATGTGATTCTGTATTAAAAAACTGACTTTAGAATGGACATGAAATCATAACTTAATCTTCATGAGCAATAAGATACCTTTTCTATAAATTTTATCAGCTATAAAGCCCATCAGTTATAGTGATTATTCTGTTGTTTGCATTTCTTTTATTATTTAATTTTCAGTAAAGTATTTAGGCCTATTTGCAGCATTTTTGATAGAACAAGATTCAAATGTATTCCAGCAAGAGCTTTATATAAGTAAAAACTGTAAATGTGTGTGTGTATATATACACATACATATATAAAATGAGCTAATACCCCTATCTTTTTTTTTTCTCACTGTATTTTTACATTGAAAAGATTGCCAGAAAATCACCAAATCCAGATCTACAATTTATTTTTTCCAGTAATCTGTGCTATGTTTGCCTGCTGATGGTGCAGTTCTCCATTGCAAATACAGAGGGTCAGTGTTAGTACCCTTGTTAAGTGAGCTAAGTCTTGTGGCTTAACAGGAAAAAGTCTACAGAGAATGAAGCTGGATAGTGTGGGAAGAAGTAAGGGAAGCTACAAGTCTGTGGTGTAGCTCAGATCTCATATCCCACTGCGGGCTTCAGAATGGATTTGTTTCCAGAAAGGGAAATTCTGCTTGCTCTAAATTCTTGTCCACATTCACATGTAAGAGAATGCCTATGCCATAAGAAAAAAATACTTGAAGGTGTAAGTCAGAACAGAACTGGCCTTCAGCCTAGCACACTAGGAAGGTGGCAGGTAAAATACAGTCAATAGCAATGCTAAGAACTGGGGTCGGCTGGACAAATCCCTCAAATGAGGGTGCTCAGGGAGAAGATGGTTTGGCGTGCTGTTCTCCTTGCTCCTCAGCACTTCTCCTGTCATGCACCCCTTAGGCATGTACTGTACAGGGTGTACTCTATTTTGAACTATCTCATAGCCAGTTTTCAATGCAAATTTTAATTTTTTTAGTGACCCCATTTTTAGTAACTCTTGCCAAGTGATTTGGTGTTGCTGTTTTTCCTGCCAGGTTCTGTTAATATTTTCGGATGGGCTGGATGATTCACTGGATAATCTAAGAAACACAGCCACCTCCCTTCGCATCAAAGGTATTGTTGCCCAGTGCTGACTTTCCAACCTCCTACTGCCGCTTTGGCTGCTCCCCCACTGCAACTTTTCCACATCTCATGACTCTCCAAGATCTTGGCAGTGCTCAGGTGTCATTGGGAGAGTGCTTGCTTCTCCGTGTGAACTAGTGTTCATGGTGGCCCATTACCAGTGTCTCTTTCAGGTATTCAGGGATTTTCATCTTCAGTTGTACTCTTTGAGCTAGTATTTTTTTGTATATTAAATAAAGGCAGATGCCTTTGTTTTACTCCTGCAGTTTATTTAAGTTGTGTTTCTGATTTGTGTCAGGACCTTTGGCAATGCTGACCTAAAGTGAAAATAAAACAGGGACAAACCCTAAGCTCAGGGCAGGCAGAGGGCCTCAGGATGCAATGGGACTTCAAATGAATTTCACTCCAAAAAAAATGACTCCTTTTATTGAGTTCCTCAGGCTTGAACCTTTCTGATCATTACCCATCAAACAGAGGCTGTTGGTTAGAGACACTTTGGTCAGATCAGTATATGGTACAAAATTCCTACTGCGGAAAGAAAGGGAAAAAGGTTGCCACCTAATAGGAAAAGGGGGACAAGGGGAACAGAGATTTTCTTATGAAGAGAAACAGCCGTCAAGGAAGGGAAAAACTGGCCTCACTTTGTAATATCTCAAGCACCATTTGGCTATTTGTTCTGCTCTTAGGTTTCCATGCCCAAACCCAATTTCTTGTGAAGATATTTTTCTCCGGTAACAAATATAATATAGACGTTTCAAAGATTTAACTGCATTGAAAGCAAAAATTTAAAAAGTGATTAAAATGCGTTGCAAAAAATATTATAATTCACTTATGAGCTAAAGTGAAATTGTGTCTTTGTTGCCAAAAAAGGTCAAATAAATGGAAACGGAGGAACCCTGAAATCTACTTCTGTAGACATGTAATTCAGTAAATAAAGGCAGACAGAAATCCTCTGAGTCTGTCCTTCAGCTGAAGAAATGTCTTAGACCAAGTGCAGAGCTCTGATTCCCTATTATTTCCCTACTTATTTGTCTGTAGTTGGGAAGTGGTGCCAGAAGCAAGCCCAAACTTGCAGAGAGCCTGCCATGGTCCCAGGCTCTGGTGTGCCAGTAGCAGCTGGGACAGGTCCTGACTCAGACCCACCTCTGGCTTCTGCAGGAAAAAAACAACCATCCTGGCACTGAAGTTAGCTCTGAAGCCAAGATTGCAGTCAAGTATAACAACCAGGAACAAATTAATTGGGAAATTATTGGTCTAGATTTGTCTCTCATATGATGTTCTCAATGGCTCGATTTCATTCAGCATGCTCAGTTGAAGCCGTTAGGAGTCTTTGAGACCTGCTTTCATATTTAATCCTTATGTCAGTTAATAAAGTTTGAGCATTCAGTAATTTAAATTTATGCTTATTTTGAAGGCCTTGATGCACTTTTAATAGTTGGTGTGAGCAATACGCAGAACTTGACTGAACTTCGGGAAATAGAGTTTGGCAGAGGGTTTGGATACAACGAACCTTTGAGTGTTGGATTTGCAAACATTGCAAGCACCTTGAAGAGGAACCTTGTAAGTCTATATATAAACGAAAGGAAAAAAAAAGGGAAAACTTGTTTTGTAATTTATTATACATAAATGAGATACTGCTTGTCATTTTTCAGGATATTGTTGCAGAAAGGAAGTGCTGTAATGTTGTTTGTAAATGCCTTGGAGAAAGTGGTAGTCACGGTGACCGGGGATACCTTGGAATGAAGGTAGGAGAGCTAAGATACACAGTGCTTAATTGCTTTGTTTTTTCAAATATTTTCTTTTTTCTTATAAAAACTTGGAGTGAGTATGCAAGTGCTCGCAACCTTTATTAGGACAGACAATTAAGAGACATGCAATACAAACATTTATCCGCTGCATATTCTATTGTACTACTTAAGTACTATTAAGTTTTTATAGCTTCAGCTTAGAATTTAATTACAATGTATTACTTCCTTTTCCAAGCCCCTAGGAAGGCTATTTAATATGAGTAATATCCCAGTGAGCTCTGTTAACCAGACAGTTTCCTGAAATAGTGTACTGAAATATTATTGATCATTATGTAATTATTCTTTTCACAGTCATGTCAAGGGTACAGGACTGTCCATGGTGGTTGCATAAATCCAATAGGTGGAGCCTGCTCTTCCCAGCATAACCAGATCTAGTTTTCACCAAACCTTTTCTGTCTGTAGAGTAATCTGATACAAAGGAAGCCAGCATGCTTGGAGCGCAGTGTGACTTAACTCTGATTTTCCTGTCTGCAGGGAAGTAGAGGTTACAGAGGATCTCCTGGCCATCCTGGTGAGGAAGGTGGCATTGTAAGTAAACACTGTTACTTTCTGCTAAAATGATATTAGTTGGTGCCTGAATCTGTCTGCACTTACTCATTCAGGGATCATCAGTAATAACCCAAAGTGTGTCTAAGCAGCATGTATCTGAAGGTAAATATATGGGCTCAATTATACATGCGTCTGTATCTCACCATAGTTAGTGATAGCCCCTATTCCAGAATCAGAATTGGTTAGACAGAATCATCTTACAGCGTTTTATCTGGTGTATTTACAGCCAACTCCTATACTCATTTCTCATGACATGCTGTAGCCAGATTCGGTGCTGACAGTTCTCACAGAAACACCATCCCTTTGCTTCATAGCATGAATGCGTATCTTATAACTGGGTAGCAAAGTTAAGTTTTGTAGCATGTGATTATTGTTTTGATGTGTTTCCCAAATCCTTTGCAGTGACCTAATCCTGCCATAAACTTCAGCATAATGTGTGTAAGCCAAACTCCAAGCCATTGGGGATATTTCTTCCTCTTTTGCTTCTAGAAGAAAACAAGCAAAGAAAATTTTTCCAAAGAATAAGAGGCAGTTTCCTTAGCAAAAAACACAGAAGTGGATTACAGTACTGCAGTCTATAACTTGACCATCAGTCCTGTATGCAGGGAAAAGGCCTGCAGATGAGGAACAAGCCTAGGATTTCCTTCTGTACATGAGTATCCGATCGACATTGCAGTGATCCCTGTTCTCCGGGTAGATTGGCAGCTAACCCAAAAGTGTTCTGGTGAAGTTGCTTGGGACAAACCAGCTGTCTGTTCAGAAGAAGGCAGTAGTGGGAAAGGACATTTCTCATGTGAGATTCTCAAGGTAGCACATTGTGACCACAGTTTAACACTTTCACTGGAAATGTGTTGCTACATGAACTATTTTCACAGAAAACTTCTGTTTTTAACCAGGGACCAAATTTGCTAACTGACATAATGAAGTTTCATACAAGTGATTTCCAGAATAATGTAAAAATATTTGTCTTGCTTACTCAGGAACAGAACTGCTTTTACAATCCTTTACCAGATAAGAATGCCATGGCATAGTTGAGAATTAAAGTTCAAACTCTAAGATTTTATTTATTTATTTATTTTAATGTGATTTTTTGAACACATTGAAATGCATGTGTCACAAATTTTTCACCACTGCATTTTGACTTGAAAGAAGATTCTAATTCTTTTTGCGGTGTTTGAGTTGAAAATAATTTTGAGTATTTGGCAGGGGGAGGAATTGAAATTCTGATTTTGGCATTCTGAGAATGTAGGACAATCTCGTGCAAGAGATTCATCAGCAATATTTCTGTCATGTATTTTTTGGTTCCTTCCTCTTGCTTCTCATTACTGTGGAAGGATGAAGAAAGAGAAGTCATCTCCACACTTCCAGAAACTTCCTTCAACTTCTGGAAGTGAAGCCAAAAATGAATTTCATATCGAACATTTCCCTATTAAGGGCTAACTTTTCTCCTACTGAAAGAGTTTGAAGTGCCCAGAACAATCGAGTGTAATAAAATACATAACAAAAAGTAGACTTTGCTGATAATAAACTAGAAGATAAGAGAGATTGAGGGAACAATGTTTGATGGTGTTGGTTTATCATGGATTAATACTCGCCTAAGAAATTCATATTCCCTACAGATTTATCTTCTTTTGCATATTCTATGGGTTCTTTTAGTGGGATCTGAAAAATCCTTTCAGCTGCTTGGAGATGTTGCTCTTTCTAGTGCTTTTGGAAGTTTCAGTCCTGAGAGACAGGGAATAGAAGCCTTCAAGGATCAGTGAGCAGAGGGAAGGCATTCAATATTTGGCTAAAAACAAGTTACTGAATTGTCATACCTTCAAGCACAAACATTTCCTTCAGAAACTGAGCAGACAGCCACAGAGCAGCTCAGACTAGTGTGGACTAATCTCTGCAGAGAATAATTCGAAGTCCTTTAAAACCAGTATAAAAATTCCCCGTTATTTCCAGGTGCGTCCTTAGTGTATTGAATGGTGATACTTAATCTTGCCTTAATCTTATAATTAGTGAACAGCTTTGTGTGGATGACTTAATATTCTTACTTGCTCTTCAGGGAGAGAGAGGTCCAGTCGGTTTCAATGGGACTCAAGGAGACAGAGGATGTTCAGGTGTCAGAGGTTATAAGGCAAGTGTGTCATTTAGAAGAATGTTTTGATCTTGTTTCCTGTAAACATGTTCTTGGTACTGAGCACAAATCACTGTGTCTTCCTGGAGGGTGGATAGGGAGTTGGACCCAAGCCTTTCACCAGATTTCATCCATGTTTTATTTTAATTTCAGGGATCCAGAGGCTATCATGGAAGCCAGGTATGCGATCTTTAAATGTGGCTAATTTTCTGTAAGGAGAACAAGGCTCTGCTCCCTGCTGAGTTGAAGTGTTGAAGAGAAAGAGCAGAAAGGGAGGAAAAGATATTGTGACTATTATTTATTGTGGATTTGGGCATCATTTTCACTGAGTCGTTATTGACACTTTTTTCTTACTCAAACTTCTGTCAGCTATTTTTTGTTAACCGTAGTTCTTGCAACTCCACTGATTTTACCTTTCAAACATATCTGCTCACCTAAAAGTTGTTGTCAATAATTTGTTAATACAATGTGCAGTCTGGAAGAGAAAGATCTTAATAACAATGTTGGGTTGCAAGCCAGAGTAGTGAAAATAGAATTGGCATTATATCGTGTGTTGATGACAAAAACCCCCCTGAATTTTTGAGGCTCCTAAATTTGTCCTAGACAACATTTTCTCCCAAACCTGAGCAACTACACATGCAGGAAAGTTCAGAGAGCATTTTTCAGTTCTGTTTGAAGCACTGCCCTTTACAGACTTCATAATCTTCTCAGGAATTTACTCCATCAAATTTTATTTTCTAATCTTTTCCCTAACTAATTTCTCCTTTAAGTATCTGAAACAGAGCAAAAAAATGCAATACTGAGCTTTTAATACTATGAAGTTTGGCCCAGGTTTGCTGAGGTTTGGAAAGAGGGAGGAAAATTTAAGACTGGAGTAAAACTCATGATTGCGTACTAAGTGTTCAACATTTTTCTGGAATACTTAATCAAAAAGTGCTTGTTTGTGAACATCAATATCAAAATGTGCAGCCAGATAATTTTTCTGGCAGTACATTCAAAACTCTTGTATATAAATGAAATTTCTCACAAAAACTCTTGCTGGGTATTTATGTCCACTTCAATTTAGCATCAAAAATTACAAAACCGTTGTTATCTGTAGGCTCTGTCAGAATAAGACTCCAGTTGATTTAATTGCCATTTAGAACACAATCTTGTGCCACTTTCAGTGATTTCTTAATCCGGCTTTTGGACACTAAAATGGTTGTTGTCCATGCTCATTTCATTCTTTATTACAACTAAGAACATCACTGTTAATTCTTCTATTTTTATCCTGATAGAGAAAGAGGAAAGGGGTACTTCAAAATATCCTGAAAAAATGAGCAGTATTTGGCTATGTCTGAAACATTTTTTGGGCATACATTACTGAAATAAATTTCTCACAGCTTCGAATCTGTTCAAAAACCTCTTTCTTCATTTGCACAACAAGTTAACATCATAAAGTGGGAGCTCTGTGAGAAACTGACTTCTGATGGTTCAGCAACCATCGTGATTTGTTTCTGCAGCAAAAGGAGAGGTCAGCAGCCTGTTAGCATGGGAATGGGGACTGTTGTTTACACGGCACAAAAGGCAAGATAGGCTGACTTCATTTTCCTTCCTCCCTTTTCCTAGATCAGCTAGAAGTAGCCCTCTGCGTTTTATATTTCGTGTTTGCATTCCTAATGTTGTCTTCTCACACATGTGATCTCAGTACTGTAATAGGTACTACACTGAATCCAGGAATAGTTTGGCTAATTGGACTTTGTGTGTAACCTTTGGAATAACATTGTTCTAGATTGTGAATGTCAAAATCAGTCCTGGTGAAACCAAGCATCACTTTTCTGACGCAGTAATGGAACTGAATTTAAAACCTGGTAGAGACCTATAATTTTAGTAACCACTGTTCCTAATATTACCTATTCTTTGCTCAGAATTATTTTAAAAGTCAATAATTCTTTACAATTTCTTTTTTTTTGTTTAATTATTATTCTTAGCTATTCTTGCTAGCCATTAATAATCACTTTCCTTAGTGAAGTTTCCAAAAGCAGGTGAACGTTTTTCCTTCTCTATAAAGACTTTCTCCTTGTTCAGAGAGACCAGTTTCCTGATGCTAATAGGATGTTTCTTGCATATTGCTACAGGGTGAACATGGTGAGGATGGAATCGATGGCATTGACGGAGAACAGGTAATCTTTGCTTCAAACCTGCAATGCAATTAAGGAGGTTTACCTCAGGGGTTCAGAAGTACAGATCGTGGTGCCTTTGAGTGGACTTTGAACCAGAACAAAATTCAGTTGTTTAATGTTTGGAATTGTCTATCTGGCAGAAACTGGATCCTGATGGACAATTTGGGAACCACATTTGTAAGAGGGAGCGTACGTTAATTATTTATGTTTCTGTTTTTTCACCCTTTGTGAGTCTAGGGAGAACGTGGGTCTCCTGGTGCTTCTGGTGAAAAAGGCAGGCCAGGAAGACAGGTAAGTTATCCTCTATGGTAATGTTTAGATCTCATGGAAGCCACTGTCATCTTTCCAAAATATAATGCCAAGTCTGCCTTGTGACTTGTTTCTACCAGATGCCTGTCCTCTAAAATAAAGTGGCTCTCTGGTATAAAACAGTGTAACTCCATTGCCTTAAACATATCTGTGTTCACTTCTCTGGCCTTCCTGTACTCCAGATACTGTCCCTACCTGTACCCTAATTGCTTGTGCTGTCTTTGTGACTTAAGGGCAAGAAAGGCCTCAAAGGAGAATCTGGGGAGCGAGGAGAGCCTGGTCTAAGAGGAGATCATGTAAGTGTGCTCCTGCATTTTTGGCAGACTGAAAAGACTTTCACTGCAACAAATGCTGATTTCTGCCTTGATTTTTGTCATGGGCTTACCTGAAATGTGGTATGTTTTGAAGAGTTCCTCATAATCCTGGGCAGCACAGAACTTCACAAAGGGTATGCAAAAGGTGCCAGGAGTTTTGAGCTCTCTAGCTGCAGATGGGCTGATGTTTTGATACGTTGCTTGGAAGCAGATGTTTAAGCCAAAGTTGGCTAAGTTGGCAAAGTTGGCTGCTAGTTGTTTCCTGATTTTATTTTATTATTTTTAAAAATAAAATGCTGAGCTTTCTGCTTGACTTTTCCAGGGGGATCCTGGGATTAGCAATAATGTTCGTGGTCCCATGGGTGAAAAAGGAAACCCAGCACAGCAGGTAAGCATGTTGTTCTGCATTACGAAGACAGAGGATTTGGATATTTGCTAAGTTTGCAGGATGGTGCATTGCTGTCCAAAGACCAAGCAGATCTTTTCTGTGATTTTGTGCTCTTTATTTAGAGCACACATGTCTGCAACACAGAAAGTTTTGAGAAATCCTTGATACTGTAAAATAAATAATTAAAAAAACTACTGCAGTGAAGGCTATGTAAGTATGCTGATGAGGTAGACTGACAAACTGGGTCAGATCTAAGGGAAGATATGTTGCAGTTTTTGCCTGGATTTGGTAAATATGGATATTGTTTTAGAAGAAATTGGCATCAACAGATTAAGTGGCTTCTAGTCGTAGATTACAGGGATTTTGTTGAAAATGTTTTTGGAAGAAAATGCATTGGATGTTGACACGTTGTACATATTTTATTATCTAACTACTCTTTCCTTGGAGGAGCAGATGAACTCTGTTCTTGCCCATATTAGAATAAAAGAACTGTTACATGTGCTGTCTGAATTTTATGAGATGTTTGAACAGTATTATAAGAAAAGAAATATAACACAAAAATCATAGCCCATTTTACTGTCATACTTAGCTTCAGAAGAAGAAAAACAAAAATGATATGCAGTTGAAATATAGTATGTAGATGATGCTGGAATACACTCTGGCAGTGCACATCACTGCTTTCTGGTCTGTCTGTCTTGAGAAGTGCAATTGAAAGACTGAAGTCAACAAATGTAACGCCCCAAAAGCCTTAGCCAAATATCAGATGTTAGTATCTGATGGGTTAAAAATTTAAAGCAAGTTTGATCTCTTTAATTTTTTTATTTATGAAGAACTTGCAGCAAACAAGAACCAAATGCTTAGCATAATACAGCTGATTGCAGTGAAATTACTGAGAACTATTATTAAAGGAAAAGAATCAAAGAATCCTAAAAATGAGATTGTGCAAGTACAAGAATAAGATAAAATATTTAAAAACCTTGTTCATTCCTTTACTTTGCAGGGGGATCCAGGACCACCAGGACTCCGAGGAGGGCCAGGTGGTGCTGGTGTTAATGTAAGAACAATATAGCATGTAGTAAATACAGTGTGCAAGTAACCGATCCAAGAAACAGTGAAGTTCCCATTGATAAGACCAGCTTCCCCCCCCCTTTTTTTTGATACCATAGTTAAAATAGGTGAAATGACAGGTAAAAAATCTAAAGCTCACAAAGCAAAAAATATTTGGCTTCAAGTTTAGCAGCTTGTGTGTATTGCAATGGATAATTTTCTAATCAGGAATATACTATCAGCAAAAAAAAATCCAAGTCTGACTAATGTGGAATTCTAAGTCCAAAACTTGGTGATGAGCCAGCCTTTTCTGTAAGCTTTAATTGCTTGAAGATTTCAGCATAGGTAAATCTATCCCCTCTTCCTTTCTGCATCTCTTAGCAAGTCCATCTGAGTCTATATAAGCTCAATGGCTGCTGAGCTGCTCCTTTTAGTTTACTAGAGACTGGGAAATAGGAAGACACCTTTTGTAGTGCTTTAGAAAGGATCCTAATGCTAATGTCTGGGATGCTGACCACTCCACAGCCAGGCTGCAGAAACATCCTAAAAGACTCTAGTGAAGCTGAGGTTTAACAGTCGTTTTCACTAGTGTTGCTGAGCAGTATGTGAGGGAAGTAGTGCTGACATTTTGACTCGGAGGGAGGAGAGGGCTCTTGTTCTGCTAATTTTTCATTGCTGTAGGGGCTGTGGGATGGGTAGACACTTTCCAGAATACTGTTGGGAGCCTATGGGTGGTTTGGAGTAGGAAAGTTCCTCTGCACTTTTTAAGGATCTAAAGATTTTTGTTTGATAATGGTACTACTTATTCTAGGTTTTATATCCCCAATTCACTGTTTCTTCATCTTTACCTTAGACAAATGGGATTTTTTTTCCCTTTGTTTGAAAAGGACATCTGATTTCCATGAACTGAATATATATTCATGGCTATAAGCAGATGTTGTCCATATTGCTTGATGTTCTGGTTGTAATCTCTTGTGCCACTTCCTCCTAGGGTGCAGAAGGTCGAAGAGGCCCTCCAGGCGTAAAGGTGAGTGGCTAGCACTCACGCTCCTTATCTGCATGCAACTACATGGCCAACCTGAGCTTTTGGTCTTCTTAAATGGGAAATCTCAGTTTGATGCAAGATACTGAATTCAGTCTGATTTAACAATCAAAAGTTAGTTTCAAGCGAAGACAGCTTTTTCATCTCAAGTGCATGTGCTAGAGACCCTCCTGACTTGGCAGCTTTAGAATTGGAAAGGACAATCAAAGCTTGCATAGTTTCTTTTTACCATTAAGGCAAATTTGGAAACATAAATGGAAAGAGATGCTCACTACTGGAGAAAACAATGAGCAATTAGGCTCCATTTCTGAAGCACAAGGCTGAAAGCTGGAGAATTTGCTCCTCCTTCTTTACATGCAGATGTGCAAGGACACAGACCCATATATGCTAATACTCTTTTGAAGACAATTTACATTTATCATCATTTATCATTTTCATTTACATTTTATAGAGAGTATATTTTTAAAAAATAGCCTTCTGATATTTCTCAGACTGTAGGTTCAGTCCTGTGTGGTGGTAGTATAAGAGAGAGGAAGCAAACTGCAGAACAATATTCTTAGGCAAAACAAAACTTATGCTGACCTTGATTTTTCAGAAAACAAGAATTCACAGAATTTGTCTGGGTTTCACAACAGGGACGTTTGCAGCATTCATTGGAAATTATGACTTGTTCATATGCAAAGGAATAATGCATATAGACTAACACTGTTCAGCTAAAGCTTTTTTCCCTACCGCTTTTCTTCAGAGGATTAAATCATGTGATTACTTTATGCTGTCTGTTTAGTTCTAAAAAAAATAATTTCCAATTAAGAAATATAGATTTATGAAAGGTGGATTTTTGTGACTGAGAAAAAGGAAGAATGATCTTATATTTTAGGCTTCTTAAATCCAAACAAAATCAATCCAGATTTGTGTGATGTGCTTTGCAGTATCTTTGTCCCTTGAAAGTCGTGCCCTGTGTTGGAGTCTGGGGAGCGGGCAGAGTTGTAGCTCCTGAATAAATGTGGAAGCCAGTGGTCAGTAGAGCTCCCGCACAAGCAGTCAGGGCTAAACTCAGTCTAGATTTACAATAGGTTAAGTCCCTTCTTTCAAGTCATACTGATGCAGTTCCAGAAGTCCTGATACCAAAGACAAGACAAGATGGAGTGCACGCAGTCCTTGTCTCTGACCTCAAGTTGTAATTATTTCAAAGTCTGAGCCAAAGCTCTGTGGCCTTTCTCAGAGCTCACAGTATGGCACATATTTGGCCTGTACAAAGCATCCTGATGCTGGTCATCTCATAACAGTTTGCTCAGCTTGTGTTTAGTGTATTCCTCACGTTTTTGGTTGAGGGCAGTGTGTGAGTTGAGGTCTTTGCTATTTTCTTAATCTGGCAGCATGTACGTGACTTTTCATTAAACTTTTGCATAGACTGAGTGCTTTTTCTGCAGCAGCAAGAAAAATTTAAGCTGAAGGCCATAAAAAGGAAGCAGAAGATAACAGTTTCAGCAGCAAGCAGACCAGCTGGGAGAATCTTTTACAGAAATAGTATTTCTTCAGCAACAGTCTTCGACTTGACTTTCATTTCTAGCCTCTTGCTCCTCTCCTGCAGTTTGGAGGAAGCAGAGTTTTGCTTTCCATTTGTCACTGCCTTACTGTGTGTTGTAGCCAGGTAACACAGG